GGCAGATAGGAAAGTGCTCCAGAGGGTTAACTCATTGCCCAGAGGATCATGGGTTGCCCTCTCCCCTCTTTGGAAGACCTTTATAGCTTCCGCTGCCTTAAGAAAGTTCAAAACATTCTCAAAAATCCATCTCATCCTGGGCACCCCCTTTTTTTGAACTATTACCATCTGGCAAACGGTACAGGATAATAAAAACAAGGACAAATAGGCTGAAAAACAGCTTCTATCCCAGGGCAGTAGCTCTTTTGGATTCTGTTGTATAGTGCAGTGTTGGTGTAGTGTCGGGGATTTTCCGTTCAATTTGTGAAAGGTGAAGGATGTGTGTTTGTGTTTATTTTCATGGTCAAGATGTGCACTGAAGATGGTGTTTGATTTCTTTGTACAAGGTGCAATGACAATAAAAGTAAACTAAACTAAACAAACGCCTCTGCGTCTGCGCAAAATGTGCATTTGGTACACGTACGCAAAGTGTGCACATGTGCAAAGCGCACCCATCAAACTGGTGGTAAAACTTTTCGAATCTCACCACTGATGCATACCCATAGTACTAAGCCTTATTTTACTATATATATGTTGACAGCAGCAAGAGTATTGTGTGCACAAAAAATAGAAGGACACTTTGATTCCTATCATGGACGAAAGGTTGCAGAATTTGATGCTGTTGGCTGAAATGGCAAAATTGACTATTTTGATTAAAGAAAAGAACTTAAGCACTTTTGTTTCCACATGGTAGACCCCTTCTGAACTTTGTACTTGGAAAAGAATGAAACTCCGATTTTAGGTTTTACCGATTAGATTGACAGATCTTCATGGAAATGGCTTGTTTATATTATTATGAAAAAAACAAGTTGTGATTTGATATTAATGCCCCATTTTACTGCAAAAGAGAGAGTCAGAAGTCAATGTCTCTTTTTCTTTTTTTCCTATCCTTCCTCACTTCTCTTCCTGCTCTTCCTCCCCACCATTCTATTTACTCTTGTATTTTGCACCTTATTTATCTTATAATTAAAATGTTAACCTGGAAAAACTAGCCTTCTTTTATAACTTCTAATAATAACGGCCATCACTGCCACACAGGTTTCAGAGCTGTAACGGAGAGTGACTGGGTTTTGTGAAAGAGGAGCGCCCTACAGTGGCCAAATATTTTTCCCCCATACCAAAATAAAACTGCAGGTTATTTTTGGGCACAGCAATTTTTCTAACCTTGGTTAAAAGGGGCCTTCGGATACTCTACACCAGGTGCGGGAGCTGTCTGAATAGGAACAGGCATATTACAGGGTTTCCTGTTCAAGCTACATTCTGGTGAGAAGAACAGCATTACCAACTATCAACTTTTCCTAAATTGCAAACGGTACAATGTACATGGTTCCCTTTGTCTGCTGCTTACACATGCATGCGCACACATGTGTAAGCATACATCTATATATATAAAAGCAAAAAATCACTCACGCATCATCACAAAATCTCCAGAACCGTAAAGCCTACAAACTTGAAATTCGCCATATATATTCCTCTTGGTTTCTAGATGCTCACTAAAAAAGGATTTTTCGAAATGACCATCAGAGCATTAGTATTTCCCATATTATTATTAACATGCTCTGATGCTAAGGACTTCTACTGCCCCTCCCCACCTGAAAAGAAATCTCTTTCAACTGCAAAACACAAGCAGAGAAGTTTCAGTTTTAGTTTCACAGCAGCAACCAGCTTTAATACAGAACAGTTGAGCTAAGCCATGCCCAGGCTCCTTGCTATCTCCTTCTTGCTCATACAGCAAATATTGCTTCAGTTTCCAAGCAGCCCTCAACTCTCTCACACAGACAGGACGCTAGCCAGATGAATATCAATGGATGCTGGTAGGCAGAGGCACAATTCCTCCCCACCTTATTTTCCTTCCCCAAAACTAAGCCTGATCGCATAGTTTCGTAGCAAAGTACAGGTATCGAGCTAGTACATGTATATATGACAGAGTTTAATGATTGGCAGGCTGTGAACATCTAGTTTATTCCAGGTTTGTCTTTGCTACTGACTTCTACTGAACAAGAGCTAAAACAGCATTGAGATGTAAAATGCCATGCACTTTATGGATTCAAATTAACACATTCCCACACACTGGGAAATTAATGGAATTTGCAAATCCCCTATTAACAAAATTTTGCAAAATACTGCATTTCTCCCCTTCACTTTAAAGGCATAATTTTCAAACTGTATCCTGTTGGTGGTTATTGGAATAGAGACAAACGAAATTCTTCCTGGAGTTCAAAAGAAATTTGAGAGAGATTTATCTGGGAAGACAGCTGGACAATATCTGGCAAGCACTGCAGTGATGGGAGATGTCTGTTGGCTTCGAAGCAGGACTTACATTTCAAGATTTTGTATCCGTGACATTTTACCCCTGTAGGAATTTTACAAAACTCGCCTAGTTATTCAGCCAATTTGGAGGGGGAACACAAACAGAAAGGATCGTGTCTGTGGAACATGTGAAAATGGGTAATATTTTTGCAAAAAGGGTTTTGATGAATTGCACAGTCATCAAAATAAGGATTATAACCTATGCTCAATAGATAAAATATTGGGATAAATGTCAAGCAGCTGACATTTTCTCCCCTTTTGAAAACTAAATTGCTAGCTGCTCAATGTTAGAAGTGTTTGGGTCATTTATCAGTTGAAAAGTGGCACAGGGAAACTTAGCCAGTAGCTGTATTAGAAAACGTATCAGGTAAAAGTTTATAGGTTGAAAAAACAGGAAGATCAATTGTTATCTTCTCTCATACGTGATAACTTTTCTCTATCAATTTACAGGAATCTGTAGGAATTATAATATGATCCGCAATGGGAGTAGAAAAGTATTGATGCTCAGATCATGATTATTTGATTTGGTTTTAACATGTTTCTGATGTGTTTAATTATGTCTTGGTCTTCCCCCCACCCTTTTAAGTAGCAAAACAAGTCTCCCCCATTCCAGATGGGATGGTCACCAATGACCCCAGGATGCAGCAATGACTGTAAATACAAGTCAGTTGCTAAGCACCCAAATTTTGGCCCATGTGACTACAGGGACTCACAAGGACCAGTTGTTAGTCACTTTTTTGCAGGACTGTTGATAACTTTGAACCATCATTAAGCAAATGGATGTAAGTTGAGAACTACCTGAACAGGCTTTGAAAGCATCTAACACAGGGGTCTCCAACCTTGGCACCTTTTAAGACTTGTGGACTTCAACTCCCAGAATTCCTCAGCGGCTGAGGAATTCTGGGAATTGAAGTCCACAAGTCTTAAAGTTGCCAAGATTGGAGACCCCAAACCTAATGACATTTTTTTTTTCAACTCAGGGGATCGAAAAGGCCAAGGTTTTTTGACTGTGGAAATTGGTACAGGTAGTCCTCAAGATGTGACCAATCAAGTTATGACAGACCTGCCAAAAAGCTAGGTATGACTGGGAGGCTGTTAAGGGCTGTAGGTCTCGACCTACTTCCCATCCAGCCATCTAGGGCAGTGATGGTGAACCTTTTTGTTGTGGTGTGGTGAAAGTGCATGCACGCCGGCACCCACAATGCAATGTGCCTCACCCCCCTGCGCGTGTGCGCACATCCCCACCCCACCTCCTTACCTGCACTGTGCACTCAGCTGATTTTTGGCCCATTTGAGGCTCGAGGGAAGCCTCTGCAGCCTTTGGAGGCCGAAAAACGGACCTTCCGGAAATACCGGAAGTGCCAAAATGGGCCCGTTTTTCGGCCTCCAAAGACTGCAGAGGCTTCCCTCAACCCCCTCGGAGGGCGAAAACAACCTCCCCCGAGCTCCAGAGGCCCTCCAGAGGCTGAAACCAAGCACTTCCAGCTTCCCTCGAGCCTCCAGGAGGGCGAAAAAGGCCTCAAATGGGCCAAAAATCAGCTGGGAAGCACTTGCATGCACAGTGCAGGTAAGTTTGGCTAGGGCTCACGTGCCCACACAAATGTCTCTGCGTGCCATAGGTTTGCCATCACAGATCTAGGGGATTTGCAAGACTCGGCCTGTTCCTCAGCCCATGGCAACCTCAAGCTATTCTAGAAGCAGGTATATTCTCTCAATTTTTTTTTAAGGAGGCTCTACAAACAAAAGGAGGCCCTGATAGGCTCATAAGGGTGGAGGTTGCCTCACTTAACAGCTGTCAGAACATGCAATGGTAATGAGCAGGCTCCATTATGGCTGTTTCTTGAAGACTATCTGTATTGATCTGTCTCTGCAGTATGTTTACTTGGTGTTCTCCGAACTTGGTTGCTTTCTCGGAGATGTTTCATTACCCAACTAGGTAACATCATCAGTGCTAAGACCCCTCATTTCAACCCTGAGCTACAAATAGTCTCTTTTATTGGTATATTTACTCTACCTCAATTTAAGCAACGATGAAGGATGCTTCTGCTACAATAGGTGGGCAGAAGGTGAGATCTTGGTTAACGTCTGTCTATCATGAACCTCCAAAACCACACGCTCTCTGCACCTTTTTCAGAGTGCAACTTGCAGCCACGGACAACATAACATGCCACATTAAGCTGCCAATTCAGGTTCTTAATATTTTTTTCCCCTTAAAAGAATCTTAAGATATAATCAATCGGTCTGTGGATGGAAAAAAAACCACACAACTAAAACAGAAAGGGACCCGAAGGCTTCCATAATCAATAAAAACTGTACACAAAGCTTTTCATTTTTAATAAAATGTTGTGTAATTACATCTTTTTTTTTTACAAACGGAGAAGGATTTGCACGGAAACCTTGGTGTCAGAGCAGGCAGGCTCTCCACATGTGCTGAGCCTGTAATATCAGTGATTCCTAGACATTTCTAGGCCCCAAATTTGGGGGACTGTTGATCTAACAGCACTAAGGAGCTTCAAGGTTTGTGGACAATTCGATTGTCTCCCGAGATTGTTGCAAACTTCCCCTTCAGGACCAGAACTTGTGGGGAAATTCTGGATGAAGCTACAAGAACTGCCCTTTATATATATATATATATAAATTATATATATATATTTTAACAAGGAAAATGACATTTCTGCAACCTTCTAATCATCTGGTTCTTGCTTTTCTTCTTTGCTCATCCTTTCAGCTTCTTCCAACTTCTGTCCCAGAGCTTCTTTGGGAAGAAATTGTTCAACTTTCACATCTAAGGCTTCACTGGTTGAACTTCGAATGCTCATACTTGTTACAAAAGGACCTTAAATAAAAAGAGAGAGAGAGAGAAAAAGAAAGAGAGTGGAAGAACAGGGAGCAAGAATTCAGCTTATTTTATGATCTAACGTGGACGATATTGTACAGAATCATTAAAAGTACTGCTTGAAATGGCAACTCTAAGCAAGAGTAAACAGCTACGAGTTTCTCATATGTCAGGGAAAGAGATTTAAGCAAGTACAGGTAGTCCTCAAGTTATGACGGGTTGCTTAGCAACCAATGGATCTCTCCAGGCTACTTACAACCCAGGTTTCAAGTTCTGACAACCAGCCTCTCCCACCAGTCAAATAATTGCATTTTTTGATGCTAGGCCTTCATTTCTATTGTCCTGCAACCACGTGACCATGATTTATAACTTAAAAAAAAAAAACCCCACAGAAACTGGGATTAACTTCCAGGTTTTGGCAAGAAATACCCATCGGCTAAAATGTATTTGCTTAACAACCGTTGTCAGGGTTCTGGCGATTGCCCTAATTAAATCATGATCCTCGAGCCAAGCTTCAAAAGAATCCATAAGATTCCTCAGGAGTAACATGTCGGCATTATCCCAGTTGAAGCCAACTCTGACACATGTAATTCATGGACACCTGTGACCCTGTTTCCCCCCTTTCCCCTGGGTGTGTCATACATCAGATTCTCCAACGAAGCACGTTCAGGGGCTGTGTGTCATCAATCACACCAGAGGTGGTATTCAGCAGGTTCTGAACAGTTCTGGAGAACCAGTAGCGGAAATTTTGAGTGGTATGGAGAACCGGCAAATGCCACCTCTGACTGGCCCCGCCAACCCCATCTATTCTCTGCTTCCCGAGTCCCAGCTGATTGGCTGGGTCTTCTTTTGCTGCCCTACACAGGAGAATGGAGCTGGAAAGCAGGTTAGTGGGGTGGGGAGGGAATGGGGATTTTGCAGTATCCTTCCCCTGCTATGCCCACCAAGCCATGCCCACCAAGACACACCCACAGAACCGGTAGCAAAAAAAAAAATTGAATCCCACCACTGAATCACACTCTCCCATGAAGGATTTTCCTGGGCAGAAGATCTAGTAGCCTAGCTACAATCTTTGTAAGATAAGCGTGGAATGTTCTTCTGATTTTCTCTTCCCCCCACCCAAAGTTATGGCAACTGGGAAACAGGCATGTTTTACGAGTTGACAACCATTTTGTTCACTTAACAACCTGCAGTGATTCATTTAAGTGCCACAAAAAAGGTTGTTAAAATCAGGCACGGACATGTGGTGACTTAATGATTGGCCACACTTTGACTGCCATCCTGGACTCGATTATGGTCATAAGTCGAGGACGACCTGTATTCAGTGGTTCTATTTAAAACCAGTATGATTTATAAGACTGTGTTTAATCGTGGATCAAATTTGGCACATTATGTAAAATATATTACTGCTTTCAATGACAGGAAAACATGCTAAGTTTCTCAAGTCCTTGGCAACCTTGTTCAGATCCACAAAGGCCCTGGGAGTCCAAAACGTTAACGAGGGGAGGAGACAGGGAATATACTATTGATTTATTAACCCAAATTTCAAATTAATTTAAACATCGTTGTATTAGCTGGACCGACCATGAGTTTTCATACATAGTCTGATACACTTAGAGGCAGAGGTGGGCTGCTGGGGGTCGCAGCGGTTCGGAAGAGCCCCTAGCTAAGATTCTGTGCAGTTCGGAGAACCATCAAATCCCACTCCTGTCTGGGCCCCGCCCACTCCTCCCCGGAGTCCCCACGCGGCCTGTTTTGAATGCAGCTAAGCGCATGGAGGCTCAGGGAGGGCAAAAAGGAAGTTCAGGAAGGCCGGAAATGGGCCCATTTCTGGCTTCCAGAGAGCCTCCAGAGCCCGGGGAGGCCATTTTCGCTCTCCCAGAGGCTCAAGGAAAGCCTCCGGAGCCCGGGGAAGGCAAAAACACCCCCCCACCCACCAAGGTGCAGGAGGCCGACTAGGCCACACCCACCATGGCCACGCCCATCCAGCAACTGGGCAGAGAACTCTCTGCTAAAATTTCTGAAGCCCACTCCTGCTTACAGATAGCCCTCGAGTTATGACAATTGAGCCCCAAATGGATGTCGCCAGGTGAAAAATGAAGTGAGTTTTGTCCCCTTTTGCGGCTTTTCTTGCCACGGTGGGTAAATGAATGGTTGCATTTGTTAAGTTAGAAGCACGGGTGGTTAAAGTGACAGTGGGATTCCCCACTGACTCTGCTTGCTTGTCATAGGGATGCTGCCAGTCGTAAGTGTGAAAAAGAGCCACCTTTTTCAGAGCTGTGGTAAATTTGAACAGTCACTAAAGGAACTGTTGTAAGTTGAGGACTACCTGTACTGACCTCAAAAACAAAAAGGAGGAGGAATAATTTCCAGTGCTTGAACCCCTTTTCAAAACAGCAGCAGAAAAAAAAAACCCTGCTACTACAGATTTACAACTGTTTAGTGACCGTTCGAAGTTACAATGGCACTTACAGTGACTTACAGCTGTTCTACACCCAACTACTGCAGTATCCTCATGTTCACATGATCAAAATTCAGACACTTGGCAACTGACTCCTATTTATGATGGTTGCAGCGTCCCGGGGTGGGTCATATAATCCAATTTTGAGACCTTCAGACAAGCAGAACTCAATGGGGAAGCCAGATTCACTTAACAACCATATTACCAATTGAGCAACTGCGGTGATTCACTTAACAAACGGTGACAAGAAAGGTCACAAAATGGTCAGAATCCCTTTAGCAAACTGTCTTGGTTAGCAACAGAAATCTGGGGCTGAACTGTGATCGTTAAATCAAGGACAACCTGTAATTTGTTTCCTCCAAACTCTGCAGGAAAAAAAACAACAACTCGACAAGCCATTCTAATCCCCGTGTGTCCTTGCAGGGAGAATACAGCTTAACTGATACCCTCAAAAGAGCTGGAACAGACGAAGTCAAGTCCTTGAAAACGGTCACATATTGTTCTGACGCCAAAACAAAACGATGCGTTGTGCCCTGACCTTATAACAAAATTCTCAGAACCCCAAACATTTTACTTGGAACATCTGATACGGTTCTTCAAGGCTGTTCAAAACATTTCCAAGATAGGAACTTCCTGCGCAAATGTTTCCCATCCTGGCGGGGAGAAATTATTTTTCTAACTGAGTAATTCTGCGGGAAACAAAAACGGGACTTTTCAGGGTAATAATTTTGCCACTTTAAAGCAAAAGGTTATTCTTTAAAAGTCCTCCCAAAACAACTTCTTTAAAGAATGAAAAGGTTTTTGAGACATTTCCCTTGGAAGGGAGGAAGGAAGATTGCTGTGAAGCGAAATTATTAGCAATAGCGTTAAGCAATTTTTTGCTTGACATTTTCCCTGTTACTGTTCTTTATTGCTTAGTGTGACAATGCATGTTATCTTTTTAAATGGTTTTCTCCTTGAAACTAGCAAAATGCTTTCCCCCAACTTATATTCATTTGGGTAATATCATTTGCTATCAGCATCAATTAAGAATTTTTTAAAACATAGAGTGGCTCACCATGTTTTGAAGGTTTGTGTTTGCAAATGTCTTTAATAATACTGTCCAGATTAGCAAGTATTTGATCATTAGGCATGTCCAGCTGAAAAAGTGAATGCAAAAATAAAGGAAAAGAAAACATTAAATGGTGTCAGGTTTATAAAAATTGTGGGGACCGGGCTAAATACTTAATCAATGCATTGAGCTTTTATTTAATAAAAAGAGAAACATTTTCTCATCAATTAAAGGCTATAAGTGCTGTTAATATCATTAGTGTCTTTAGCCCAGTAATACCCTGTTGTGAAAAAAACAAAGGCGTTTTCTAATTTGTATTCAAATTCAATCACTGTAAGTTATGTATAGCGCAATATTTCTCAACTTTGGCAAATTTAAGGTGCGAGGGCTTCAATTCCCAGAATTCTCCAGCCAAAGGAAAGTTGGACAACTGTCTTGGTTAGCTATCGAAATTTTGGGCTCAATTGCAGTTGTAAGCTGAGGACTACCAGTATAGATTTACTTAATGGCCAGTTTATAAACCATTTCACTCACATAGAGCGAGAAATGGCAACCTGTTCAGATTTCAGCAGCAAATAATAACAGCAAAATATATACTGCGATTTGCAAAGTTGAAGTTGAGCGACTAAGGAGGAGGAAATCAATGGTTGTACCAATAGTAACAGGAGCCCTTGGGGCAATACCCAAAGGGCTGCCAAGATACATGGAAATTTTGAACTTATTAGATCTGAATATCCTGACTGCAAAAAAAATCACCCTGCTCAGGGCTGCTCAGGGGTGGGCTGATACCGGTTCACACCGGTTCAGGCAAACCGGATGTTAATTTTAAATCTGCTTCGCCAAATCGGTAGTTGCAATGACTCGCTGGCCCTGCACACTCCTCCCCTCCCCTCCCAGGAGTCTCCACGTGGCCTGTTTTGGATCCCAGGTAAGTGTAGGGCCCATGGAGAAGCTCGGGGGGGGGGGGGGGGGAGGGGAACAGGCCAAGAACAGGAAGTTCTGACAGGCCAGAAATGGGCCGGTTTCTGGCCTCCGGAGCCCAGGGAGGGCAACAAACAGGCCTCCCGGAAGTTCCGGAAGCCCAGAAAGAGTCCAGTTTCTGGCCTCCAGAGCATGGGGAGGCTGTTTTCGCCCTCTTGGAGGCTCGAGGAAAGCCTCTGGGGTCCGGGGAGGGCGAAAACACCCTCCCCCGCCATGGTGCAGGAGGCTGAATAGACCATGGCCCACCATGGCCATAACCACCCAGCAACTGGGTTTAGAAGGAGTTGCTGAAATTTTTGAAGCCCACCCCTGGAACTGCTTATATTCAGATGTTACCTTAACAGCTCTTAGGTCTTTGGTTAGGACTTGAGCTTTAAAAGTTTTTACCAGTCCCAGACTGCGAATCAAACTGAAGATTAAGTCTTTAATAATAACAGCTACTACTCCAGCTAAAATGGATGAAATCTCGCTAATGTTGTCTTTCTTGCCTGGAATTTGAGTCGAACTCCATGAGAGAACAGTACTATAACTTTGAGGCAAAATTTTTAGCTATTTCTGAATGTTTTAACTTAAAGTTGGACTTCCAGAGGTGCCATCTGATTCAAGCCTGTGATTTAGAGTATTTTAAAACTATCTTTCAGGATACAACATTTGCAGCATGGTGAAGATTATTTAAATACTGGAAAACCAACCAATGAGGAAATATTACGCGCAGCTCTTTAGCAATAGGTATTACGGTATGTGCATCTAACTTTGGTGAACATTTCTGAAGGAAAACTCTATTAGCAAGCATGTAATGACTTGCTAAATATTCCCTAATAGGTTGCACTAACAACTATGTCTTGCTGAAGGACCCATTTCAAAAAAAGCAATAGTGGAAATGGAAAGAAACAAAGCAGTGCGTTGGTGCTTATTCCTGTTCAAACGATTTTTCATACATGATTAAACTCCCCTCCAAGCTGAACTCACAGCCAAATCATTGGCCAAAGTGCCACGTGAAAACGTACCATTGCAAACGGGGTTTGGATGATGTTGTCGTTGGTCACTGCATATTCATGGCAGATTTTGAAGAAATTAAGTGTCTCGGGGATATTGTAAGTAACGGTACCTGTTTCAAAACAAAATGAAAAAACAAAAACCAACCCAAAGTAGGATTAAATTCATCTTACATATCTGACATTCAATGTGGGAGCAAACCAGCTATTCGGCCATTTTTCTTTCCAACTGGGAAGAATTACAGAGGACAATGGGCCAAGCACAATCTAAAAGACTGTGAAGAATTCCATGTACGCAACAAAGCTTATAACAGAGTAACAGAGTTGGAAGGGACCTAGGTGGTCTTCTAGACCAACCCCCAACGCAAGCAGGAGTGGGTGTCCAGTCTCTTCTTAAAAGCCTCCAGTGATGGGAGCACCCACAACTTCTGAAGGTAAGCCCTTCCACGGGTTAACTGCTCTTACTGTTAGGAAATTTATCTTTTACGTCTAGGTTGTTTCTTTAGTTTCCATCCACTGCTTATTGTCTTGCCTTCCAGTGCTTTGGAAAATAGATTGATCCCCTCTTCTTTGTGGCAGGCCCTCAGATATTGGAAGATTGCTCTCGTGTCACCCCAGCCCTTCTTTTCACTAGATTAAAGGTAAAGGTTCCTCTCGCACAAGAATTCTGGCTCTAGGGGACAGTGATCATCTCCGTTACAAAACCAAAGAACCAGTGCTGGCAGAAGACGTCTCTGTGGTCATGTGGCCGGCATGACTAAATGCCAAAGGTGCATGGAACGCTGTTACCTTCCCACCAAAGGGGTCCCTATTTTTCTACTTGCATTTTTTGACATGCTTTCGAACTGCTAGGTTGGCAGAAGCTGAGACAAGTAACAGGAGCTCACTCCGTTACGTGGCGCTAGGGACTCGAACCGCCGAACTGCCAACCTTTCCGATCGACAAGCTCAGCGTCTTAGCCACTGAGCCACTGCATCCCTTCATCTTTACTAGATTAGACATACCGTATAAGTTTAATATGTTCCTAATATCAATAACAAAAAACAAGGAAATGTCAAGTCATTGTTTACTGATTGATAGTTGGTTATGTATGAACTGTTGAAGTCATTTCTGTAAGGAAGGTATAATGAAGAAAATGTCTTTTACAGTTCAAATCCTACGTAACCCTGTTTCATCTAATGCAGGGGTCCCCAATCCCAGGCCAGTACTTTATGGAGCTTTGTTTTTATATATGATAACAGCCTCGGGACTTTTTATATGCCTAACATTGAAAAGATTTGATATTACCAACATGGAAGCATGGATGGTGAAGCTGATGAGAGTTGCTGAGATGGTGAAACTGACAGTTTTAACGAGAGAAAATACATTAATTTTAAAACTGATTAGAAGCCCCCTCTGGATTGGGGAAATGGGGGAAAAATGAAATTATGATATATGGATTTGATGATTAGAAAAAGTGGTAAATAATAGAAAATATAAAAGTTATGTTCCAAACTTAGAAAAAGATGCAAATTTACACTTATATCTGTTGTAAAATAGTCAGGAGTCATTTCTTTTTATTTCTTTGTTTTCTTTAGGATTTGCTTTCTTTCAGTCTCTAATATTTTCCCCTCCTTTCTCAGTTATTAGTTGTTAGTTTTTCTCTCTTTATTTTAAACTTTTAATAAAGTTATTTTTTTTAACCAAAAAAGAAAAAGAAAAGAAACATCCTTTTCTCACCGTTTTTCATGGAAGGGTACTTTTGTTTCAGAAAATTCCTCAAAGGATTAATTTTTGTTGTTATTTCAGGTACTGCGATATAAAAATCTGCTTCGATTTCCTCATTTAAAATCTGAAAGCCCATAAAAATAAAATAAAAAGGAGATTGGACATGATTTACCATTTTGGCAGTTATATATGCAACACAAGCACCTATAAAAAATATATAACTTTTTTCATATCCCCTTTGTGACAAATTTAGCATCAGCAGACATAAAATTAAGAGTATTTTAGTTTTCCCTTAAATACAGCACAATCTCTTTGCAACCCTTTAAATTTGAAAGAACAGAATTATCTGAGCTGAAATTAAAAATAATGAGCGTTCAGCTCTTTACCAGATAGAAATTTCTCCTTCACATTTGTGGAGTGCACGCCACGATTTACCACCGCCTGACAACAATCCTCAAAAAGCACGCTATGTTCAGGCGTGATTTTCAGAAGCTGTGTGATAATGGGGTGCACTCTCATGTGGCCTCCAGAAGTTGAGTGAGAGGGCTGGGCTCTTGTGCAGCCTCTGGAGTCCCCAAAAATTATGTCAAGGAATTGCGTAGCAACGGTCCGATGAATTAGGAGACACTAATGCAGATAGCTAGCTAGCTAGATGCTCTCAAAAGTGTACACATACATAACATACATACAGATGTGCTGTATACAGAAAAAACAATTGCTACCAACCTGCCTTCCACTGAGGACCTGTATACTGCACGAGACAAAAAGAGGCTGTAAAAATATCTACAGACCCCTCACATCCCGGACAAACTGTTTCAACTCTTTCCCTCAAAACGACGCTATAGAGCATTGCACACTAAAACAACTAGACACAAGAACAGTTTTTCCCCCAAATGCCATCACTCTGCTAAACAAATAATTCCCTCAACACTGTCCAACTATTTACAAAGTGTACACTACTATTATGGTTAATCTTCTCACCACTCCTTATCACACATCCCCTCCCACTTGTGACTGTATGACTGTAACTTTGTCGCTTGTATCCTTAAGATCTATATTGACTGTTTCCTAGTATGATTTGATTGCTTATTGTACCCTATGACTATCATTAAGTGTCATGCCTTATGATTCTTGACGAATGTATCTTTTCTTTTATGTATACTGAGAGTATTTGCACCGACGAATTCCTTATGTGTCCAAACACACTTGGCCAATAAAGAATTCTATTCTATTCTATTCTATTCTATTCTATTCTATTCTATTCTATTCTATTCTATTCTATTCTATACGTACTTATGTATATAGCTACACACTATATATGCGTGTGTGTGTGTGTGTACATTTCCATCTGCAATTGAACTGAAAGATCATTATTTTTAATTTCAACTCTTTCAAATTTAAAGGGTTGCAAAGAGATTATGGTGTGTGTGTGTGTGTGTGTGTGTGTATGTGAATACTTGAATGGTCACTAAATAAAAGGTTTAAGTCTAGAACTACCTATACACAGGAGATTTCACACACACACACCCTTCAAAGTGAGTCATTTTCCAACCTTAACCAAGAAATGTTAAGTATTCCTTCTGAGTTTAAAAAAAAAAGGAGGACATACATTAGCAACAGAGTTCTAAAGAGAAAGCAAATGTTTATTTAATAATAAAAATAAAACTCTCCACAGAATTTTCCTGCAGCAGCTTCAAACAATTCACCCTGTGGTTTGATTCAAAGTTGGGACAGAGTGCTCCAAAGCCTGACAGTAGAACTGTCTGTTCTGGGTAGGACCTTCAAAAATCTAGAGAATTATGTTTTGGACACAGAAGTTAAATCCTTAAGTCTCTCAGCAGCTGTTGGCGTTTCTTTTTTATTTTCCCAGAAGAATAACTTATTATTTATGGCTACAGGGCTTCCTTGTAAAATGTATGCAGAATATCAGGGATATCAGAATATCAGGGGAATTCCTAAGAAGCCAAAGGAAAAAAAATCCAAGTAAAGTCAAAAGTCTAAAAGTCAAAACAATGGATTTTCGGTGATTTATATGAGTCTTAGACTCCTATCTGTAACTAGATGAAACAAAGCTGCAAATAGAGGAAATCTTGTTAATTGCTAAAACAGCCTAGTGACCATCAGCTGCAGAATTCAACTTTCATTTCAACAGCATTAATGTTTTTCCAGATGCCAAGAACTGACACATCTGCAGTTTTCTGAACAGAGCCCACCCAGACTCTTGCATAGAGTAGAAGGGTTGAGACAGTCCTAGGCTCTGACCCCCAGAAAAACTTACAAAGAACTAACTGAGCTGATTTCAACAAAAATTAAAAGTTTGTACGTATTTTAAAATACCGGCTTAATTAGCTCGATTCCTCCTACTATGGCAGCTCCATTTTCCGTTGCTAGATTTGCTTCTTTTGGATCCTAAAAGGAAAATAAAAACCATTTAGCTAGAAGACACCGGGAATACCGGTAGTCCCCGACTTACAATCACAACGGAGCCCCGAATTTCTGTTGCTAAGTGAGACAGTTTTAAGTGAGTTTTGCCCCACACAGTGGTCCCTTTTCACTGCCGTTGTTAAGTTAGCAATGGGGTCTTTAAGTGACTCTGGATTTCCCCATTGACTTTGCTTGTCGGAAGGTCGCCAAAAAAATCCCGTGATCCCCGGGGACACTGCAATCGTCGTAAGTAAGAGTCAGTTGCCAAGCATGTGAATTTTGATCATGTGATTCTGGGGATGCTGCAATGGTTGCAAGTCACTTTTTTCCAGTACCGCTGCAACTTTGAACATCAATAAAGGAACTGTTCCAAATCAAGGAATGCCAGTATTATTTCTTTCCATATTAGAACCCACAAACCCAATGGGAAAAATAGGTTGGGAAGGTTGCAAGTTGCTCTCCTGACTTCCCCAGCCTTTATAACCTTTGCACTGTACCAACCCTCGCCTTCCTGCATTTGCACCCGGCCGCACCCTCCAACCCCCCCTCCACACTCGTTACCTGGGAATCTCTCCACTTCACGCTTAATATCTCGCGTGTCTTGTGGGCACAATAACAACTGGAGCTGCCGAAATTGCAGCTAAGCATTGCGGCCCCGTGACGTTGTGCCTTACAACTTCGTTGTTCTGACCCAGCTCGCCAAACACGACACTGAACCCTCTGAACTCAAAAGATTCCTTTATTAGGAGCGCCAGCAGCCCAGGCAAAAAGTTTCTCTCTCACTGCAGCCTAACAAGTCTGTCCAGCGGGGAGATGAATAGTTTGTCTGTCACATCTGTTCATCTCCACCCCCTGCCTTTTATCCCCAGAGCTAGGGTGGGGCTTTGCTAGCAGTGGTGGCTTTTCCGTCCCAAGGACCGGCTCATAAGATTTCCACTGCTCTCCTCTCCTCTGCCTTTTGTGCAGTGTCAGGCACTGGACCCAGCCGTTCCTCCTCTTCCTCATCAGCCACCTCCAGACCTGATGGACGGCCCAGGCTCCATCTCTCTCTCTCTCTCTCTCTCTTTCTCTGCCAGCTCGATTGCCTCTTCCCCCTCAGAGCTTCCCTTGATGCTGACCCTACCTCCCACGCCTCTTCCTCTTTCTCTGATTCAGCTGCTGGTGGGGCCGGCGGCTGACAGGCCACAGCAAGGGTGTCAAATTCACATCGTCACGGTGTCATGTGACGTATCGCAACTTTTCTCCCCTTCGCTAAACCAGGTGCGGGCGTGGCCAACGTGTGACAGCATCCAGGCCGCATGTTTGACACCCCTGCCTTACAACCCCAGCCAACCCAGTCCCAATTGCTGTCATAACCCGAGGACTACCTGGACTCTTAATCCCATCCTCCCTAAAGATTTCATTTGTTCTAAGGATTTCTATTGCCCATGACTAAGGATACTTTAAGGCAGACTGGGCATTTTACGGTCCAAGGGGCACATCCTGTCCGTGGGTGGTCCCAGCCCAGCCCATGACACTGGGGTTAAGGGATGGGGACGGGACATCGGCAGCATCGGGATGGGGCATTGGTAACAGGAGGTGAGGCAATAATACGGTGTCGGTGGAGGGAGCGGAGTTGTGTTGGCAGTGGGTCGGTTGGTGGGTAGTGTTGGCAATGGGGGTGTTAGCAGTATCAGGAGCAGGACAGCAGCAGCCCTCCATAACAGTCCCAGTTTTTCATGTAGCCCCTTGGGAAAATGAATTGTCCACCCCTGTATTAAGGGATACCCAAGATCCCTTTTCTATTTTCACTGAAGTGCCGTTCTTGCTGTTCACACTTTAAAATCAAATAAATTGGGTCTCTACACATAAAATAAATTTCTGACACCTTAAGCTAGGGGTGTCAAACTTGATTTCATTGAGGGCTGCATCAGGGTTGTATTTGACCTCGGGGGGGGCGGGGAGGCATGGCCGGGGGGGCGTGGCCAACTCAACATCACTCGTGTCAGGGGGGGTTATGGTGGCCTGAGCACTTGAAGCCTTCCCGAGCTCCGTTTTTGCCGGCGGAGAGTTGCAGGAGGCCATCGCAGTTGAAAACGGAGCTCGGGAGGACTGCGTGCGGCCTTCCAAAACTCCGTTTTCACTGGCAGAGGCACCATGGGCCAGTCTTTCGCTGTTTCCAGGGCAGCCCCACAGGCCAGATCTAAACACCCCATGGCCCGGGCCTTGAGTTTGACACCCCTGCCTTAAGCAAACCTCACCCACTATTCCTCATGTCGTGTGGGAACAGTGTGACGTTGTACGCCAATGTAACATGCAAGTGACTGAAGTATCTTTGGCTAATTGCTCAACAGCTCACCTGTGTGAATACTAAAATCTTGGGGACGGCGTCTGTAAAACGGTAAGGCAGCAAAAGAGTACTAATAAATGGCCCCACAGGTTTCTGGAAGTGCAAAAGAGGGGGAAAAATCCACATTATCTGATTCAACAAAACAAATACATATTTGATACATAAGACATTTTATACATAGATAGCGATAGCTAGATATATAGATTATAGATGTAGACATATACATTTTTCAAACTGTTTCAAGAATGATTCTTAAGTTTACAGAACTCCATTCAAAGGATTAATTATAAATAAATTTTAGAAGCAGTGCTTGAAGGCATTTTTCACTGACATATTTGCTCTGCTTTCACCAAAGCTGGACCCTTTGATGTCTTTTAGATGAGTGAATTCCAATTCCCAGAATTCCCAGCAATGGCTTGACTGGAGAATTCTGGGAATTGAAGTCCATGCATCTGGAATTTGGCATGGTTAAGAAGCACAATTTTAAACTGTTCTATTGCTATGAATTCACCTTGGTTTTATGATGTGCACTATGGAGGGGATACATATTTTTTATATTTAAAAAGTTTTAATAACAGCATAATGCTATCTTGCTCTCAGGGAATGTTATGGCATAGAAAGGCAAGTTAAATAAATATATAAAGAAAAAAAACACATAAAAACAGGCTTTGCTTTTTCTCCCCATTTGTAATCTAATAATCTCTCTCGTTTTAGTACAATTAACACCCATAAGATGTTAAAAGTTATTTTTTAAAAGATTAAAAATGTATAAAACACATTACAAAACCCAAATAACTAATAAACTGAAACCCTAAACACAAGAAAACAAAATTTATTTCATCGCTTCATACTTTGCAATTTAACTCAGAAAGTACTCAAGGCAACTATCGAAAATTCAAATTGCAAAGTTGTTAAGTGAGGACTACTTGTAATCATGGTTAAAAACACAGGACAATTCAAAAGAGTAAGAGAATACAATGGAATTTAGAAAAGTTGATCAAGCAGTAGCTCTTTTAATTCCACCCTTGATATCTTGATTATTTACTTTTAGGGCTGCAGTGGCGCATTGTTAGAGTGCGGTACTGCAGGCTGCTTCTGCTGACTACTAGCTGACTGCAATTTGGCAGTTCAAATCTCAAGGCTGACTCAGCCTTCCATCCTTCTGAGGTGGCTAAAATGTGGACCCAAATTGTTGGGGGCAATATGCTGACTCTGTAAACCGCTTTGAGAGGGCTGAAAGCACTGGGAAGCGGTATATAAGTCTAAGTGCTATTGCTATTCAACGCTGTTGAAGATTTTAAGCAGTACATAAAGATAGATCAACTGTTCAAAGCATCCCTCACATAACACAAACCACTCTAGTTTTTCTCCAGTCTAATTTTCTTCAACCATGCTTATAACTGACAAAATATCTTCTGTTAATTCTAGTACTGAGAAGTGCTCTCATTTTTGGTTTAGCTTTAAAAAAATCTTCCTTCTTAATATCATCTCAAAAATAATTCCAGCTACTGATGTTGTAATAATGTATTAATCAGTATTCAACTGGGGGGGATCATATATGTATTGGTCTTTTCTTAATGCACTTTTTTTCTTTTTTAATGTCTTGATTGTTTTGTGTTTTGGGAGGGGCGTTCTTCTTTTTTGTCTCTTTTTGGATTTTTTTTTTTTGAGTTTGGTATTTTAACTTTGTCTTGAATAATATATACATATTATACATTATAATTCCAGTTACCAACTAATGCTGTAAAAAAGGGAATGTGAAGTACAAGCCAATACCTTCTTTTCCGATGTCATATCCAAGGTGATACGTGCATACAATTCCTGGGTGGGGGATGTAAAATCCAGTGGTTGAAATTTCTTTAAAAGCTCTAAAGCAGCTTCTGTGTCATAAACTGTTTTTTGATAACACCAGGTCAAATAAACATCATCCTTTGGTTCAAGTGGTAAAGGCAATTTATAACGGTCCTCTTTTTCCTTAGGCTCTGAAATTGTTTTTTTTTCCTGAGAGGCTCTTCTATATTTCCTAGGACTAGCTGACGATCTTTTAAGGAAATAAAAACAGATTGTTTGATGCAGCTCTGCTGAATAAATACAATAATCTTTTTTTGAAATGGCATAGATACCAGGGGTATTAAACTCATAGCCCACGGGCCGGATGCATCACGTACTGGCCACACTCACCCGTATTTTAGTGAAGGGGGGGGAAGTCATGATATGTCACATGACGCCACGAGTTGGACACCCCTGGCGTAGACCATCTTAGAGATGAGAGTTGCTTTAACCCACACTAAAACTAAGAAGAAAACACAACACATACCAGTGATGGCTAACCTTTCTGTCCTCGCATGCCAAAAGTGTGTGCATGCAGGCCAGCACCCCCTAAGGCAATGCATGCAGGGGGCCCCATGCCCCCTGTGCATGAGCGCATGAACCCCTGCGCACGCACATCTCTGCACATGTGCATGTGATCCCCCCAAAAGTGTGCCACACGTCTCTGTGCATGTGTGTGACCTCCCCATGTGTGGCGTTTCTGCGCATGTGCACACGTCTCCTGCACGCAACCCATCCCCTGCACATGCGTGGCAGCCACCTGACAATCAGCTGGCGGGCGGGCAGTGCATGCACCTGCGCGGTGTACCTGCTCTGGGGCGATGGCTTTCGTGCCGGCAGAAATGGCTCTGCGTGCCATTTCCAGCACGCATGCCATAGGTTCGCCATCACAGACATATACTATACTAGAAACCTGCTTAATTTGAGAAAACTATTTGCTATATGAAAAGAAACACTGGTGACTAGTTATCATTATTTTCAATTATGAGACATGCAGGAAAAAGAGAACCACAGACAAGAAATTAAATATAAATAAAAAGCGTTTTCACATTTGTGGATTCAGTCCAAAAACTAGAAAACATTGAACAAGTTTCCAGAGGAGCTGCTTTCCTTTCTGTGTTAATGTTCAGCTCTGCTTTATGACAAACGTCTGGAACTAGAAATTTAAATTAAAATAAATAATTTAATTATTCCCTAATAGATATAGATTATGCCAATAATAAAAGTAGAAAATATTTTAAATTATTAAATTTTAAACTTTGATTATCTACCTTGAACGGTTGTCAGAATCAACAAAATCTGATTCCCTTAATATTTTTAACTATAACTAATATGGCATGGAGCCAGCTTTTGAACACAATTAAAAACATCTTTACTATGTCTTCAAAGTACAAAGCATTATATTTATAAATGCTTCCATGAGAAGCAAATGCATTTCACAATTGCCTGGATAGTGTAGAAGAAACAGTAGGTCATAATCACTGAATTTTACAAAATGTTAGATAGTATATTTTATAGTGGATAGTGTACTTTATATAAGACTAGATTGCATATCTGAACTCACATACTGCTGAGTTTGAAGTTTGGTCCCACTGAATATTTCTGTTTATGCTACCATGTACAGGTGGTAGTCCTCAACAACCACAATTGGAATTGGAACATCTGTTGCTAAGCGAGGCATTAAGTGAGTTGCACCAAATTTTATGATCTTTTAGCTGCAATCAAACCTCTTTAAGCAAACCTCTTGATTGTTAAAACAATTGTTAAATGAATCTAATTCCCCCCCCAATGACTTTGTTTATCAGGAGTTAGTGGGAAAGTCAGAAATGGCAATCATGTGATCCCAGGACCATCTGTATGTATCTATGTCTATGCATATGTGTATGTATAAATGTTTCTGTTAACTATTCAAATAAATCCCCCTTATTTACTTACTTTGCAGCATACTTTCTACTGGGAACAAGTAAGTTGGTAAAACAAGAAACCACTGCAGGATATTGAACAATTCTAGAGGAAATATGGCTAGGACTCTGAGCAAAAACTGTAGAAAGACAAAAACAGTAACAATCCAAAAATGAACTATATGGCTAGTCATGTCACATAATTGGCATAAATTTGTATGGCTTTTCTAGACCTTTGCAACAGGAAAATATCTATCGACAATACAGCTCTGATATTTGCAAGTAGTGTAACATGGTTTGGCAGAACTAACTAGACTTTCCAGTTCTCAAATTTAAAAATATATTTTGAATAATTGCGGGGTGGTTTTTTTTTTTTAAAAAAAATAAAAAATACAACTGTTTACCTTCATTTCATCTGCAGCCAAATGAGACAGCTTTCAATTTAGAATTGCTCTCAGAATTGGCTGTATTTTATATACGAGAATAATTGAAAATGTCAGTTTCTTCAGAAGTACTCGTAGATGTTTTCTTTAGAATTATTCACTCATAGCCAAACTTTATAATTTTTGATGACTGGTGGGGGGAGGTTGAAGGCCAGTCTGCTCTGGGTATATCTGGAATTCTTTTTTTAAAAAAAAAAATCTGGATTTGGGGGAATTTGCTGTACTTTTATATTTCACACCAAGTTCATCAACTTCCTTACTTCAAAATAATTTATCAGCTTCCATGCTTTTTACTAATAATAGCCAAAAGATACCCCTAAAAAGACTCTGTGAACAGATGGCACACCTGATTTACAATTAATTAATTAAATAAACCATTAAGTAGCTTCTCATTCAGTGGAAGAAAAATATTTTATGTTAAAAATACCGATAGAGGGTAAAGTAATCGAGAAAATGTGCAGAGATGAACAGGTTAACACTGATAATCAAAGAAAAAGAAGAAACCAGTTATTATATGGTATGGGATTTATTTTATCAATGGTTGGAAAATAAAACAAATTAAAACGTACTAGAACTAGATGAATATATAGAGCAATAAGTTAAGATTTTACAAAAAATAATATATTAAATAATAGCTATAAGAAAATGTGATTATTGTTACATTGCCAAGAAAATTATTAATTATAATTAAGCACAAGATATATGTACCCAGCCGACACACGGTTGAAATGAAATGGAATTATTGTAAAATATAAAATAAAAAAATTAACATAAAAAATAAAATCTTTTGTTTGGGTTAAATATAAATTATTTAAACTGTATACTTGTCAATTATTATATTAGAACAGTTAATAATTACTTGTAAGCTGCTCAGTCACCTTGCAGGGAGATAAAATTTAATAAATAATAAATAAAAGTTATACATTATATTGTTATATTACAATATATAAATTATATAATCATATAAATTATGATGGTTCAATCATCTGTTAATTAGATCCATGGCTTTGCTAGTTGGTGAAAGGTTCCAAGGAGATAACATGTGTTTGTAGAATATTTATTATGTAAACCTAACCATATTAACCCTATTAGGTATTACCGTAAATATTTTTCATGAAAAATCGTATTTCCAGCAAATTAAAAGTATGAAAAGAATACGATTTTTGCAAGTATCTTTCATATTTGGCAAATGATTAGGAAACGCTACTCTACAGCAATAGCCCCATTCTAAACCCACCGTCCTGCTGGGTGCCGGGGGACATATCTATATAATACATTATTATTATTAATGTAAAATCCCAAGCTGAGACATTTTGGAGAGAAATTAAGCTGGGAAGGGGGTAAAGGGCTTCTACAGATTTGATTCACGCCGGATCGAGACTCTCACCTCTCTGGAAACAACACCGTACTACGGGCAGCGCCATCTTGGCCAGGAAAAAAAACGCGCAGAGGTGCTTTACCAAAAGTGGCCCGGCCGGCCATGCGGAGTCGGCAAGAAAAGTTCCGCCTCGGGGAAGAAAAAGTGGAACAACGAAGTGGACAGCGAATTATTGCATTAACAGGCTTGCGCAAGCCACAGTCTTGCCAGTTTCAATTCCCTCTGGTCTATAAACCATGATTTATGAACCAACAGCAATTTATTGAATGAGCCATGGTTAAATTGTGGTTGAGCCTGATTTGTAAACCCATCAGTGGGTATTGTTTTATAATCGATGCATTTGTTAATATGCTTTTCCACCTATAAGTTATTATAAAGAACATTAATGAAAATGTTATTGTCCAGGAATTATGTTTCATATTGTTTTCAACATTATTAATGTTTACTGAAAACATTATTTTCAACATTATTTTTAACAGTATCCTTATTTGTCAGTGGTAATTGGCACTGGGAATTCTGTCATTAAGTGATGTAGTCATAAGGAACAGTGTCATGTGTACAACAGTAGTTCTGGCAGCTCTAATTGCTATCATTAAGCAAATCCCGCTATTTTTAAAAGATTTTTTTAAAAAATCATGCCTTTTTACAAATAACTCAAGGTAGCAAACATATTCAACACAACTTCTACCTCCTATTTTCCCCACAACAGCCACTCTATGAATGTAAATTAGGCTGAGGGTAGAGTTGGCCCAAAGTCACCCAGCTGCCTTTCATGGCTAATGTTGAAAGAAATATCCATCTGTTTCAGTTCCAAGTGGGGAGAAAGACACTGGAAACATGGAGGCTGATTGGAAAGATGGTTTATTGATGGACAGGACCACACGGTTTTCAGGGTCTGGGCAGCTGACCACATGGAGTGGAGAGTGAGGGTTATTTATACCCTCTCTTGGGTGTTGCCCTTGAGCTTCCTGTTCCTGTGCAAGAACTGTATTGGGTGTAGTCAGACTCCCATGGGGCCATGTGGGGTCATGTCTGTCTGAATCAAGTTTTGTTGAAGCCTGGAGGGTGATGCAATGTCTCCAGGTGATTGTGTCATGTGGTGAGCTCTGCTGCTAAATAATCTTATTATGTCCTGGAGGGTCATGTCTTAATCCCATCACCCTGGAGCTGACGGTCTTTTGTCTTGTTGATAGGCTGGCCCAGTCCTTCTCAATGGGCACCAGTTATCTGCTGGGGGCAGGGAGCTGGGGCTGAATTTCTGTCTCCCTTAAGATTTCCATTTCTCTTTTAGGGGAAATATAATAGTCTGCCTTTTTAAAATATTTCTCAAAATATTTCATTCTACCAGGAGGGGTGACTTCCCTCACTAAGAATTCAGTCTCTTGGGTTTTAACTTGGTGCCTTAATTACTAGATGAAACTGAATCCTGCCACTTGCAACATCTTGCTGGTTTCCCCATTGACTCTGCTTGTCAGAATTTTGATTTGCAAATCCTGAGAGGATTTGCGGGGACCTCTAGGAATCCTTGGACCACACTTTAAAAAATACTTTTCTAAAATAAGGGAGTCCTTCCCAGGGGTGGGTTTCAACCGGTGTTACTACCGGTTCGGTGATTATGTTTTGTGCATGCATGCGCGCTTCGCCCACCCGCGCGCCTGATGCACTACACCTAAAGCTGTGCCACCTGGACAGCTGATAAGTGCTGCACGCAGATGCGCAGCGTTTGAAAAACGCCTTTTTTCCTGCCCTTTTCAGTTCCCAGACCCCTTAACTGTAACTAGAATGTTGGTTTGGATAGAGAGGTCACCAATATGAGATCTGTAGAGATAGCATAAGTAGAAGAAACCTATCATTTTACCGGAGTGGCTTAATGGGATTCTTTCAGTCTGTCTTTTGTCAACAAGGAACACATTGCCCAGGTAATAAAAGACAATCTTAAGGTGGTAATTGCAGATGTAAATCTTGATCTTTTACTCCCACAAGAGTCATGTATTTGCTTTTTTCCTCAGATGGGCTGGGAAAAGGCATAATACCTAGGATATTATGTTATCAGATACAACCTAATAGATTGGAGTCTAGCAAATAGGCCCATGATCCCTGATGAGACGGACAGTTGATTGTGATTCTGTTGCAGTTTGTAGCAGAAAACCCATATTTATTAAGAGTTAGGAGTCATCCAGTCTGAAAGCAGCCTTGTCAGGTATCCTGAAATGAAGAAATAAATCTAATTCCGCAATATTGTCAAACTATTTACTAGGACTATATTACTATTATTCTTCTCATCCTTTCTATTACCGATCTTCTTCTACTTATGACTATAACCTTGTTGCTTGTATCTTTACGATCATATTATTTTAGTTTCCTAGTATGATTTTGATTGCTCATTTAGTATCCTATGACTATCACTAAGTGTTGTATCTTATCATTCTTGCTGAATGTATTTTTATGTACGCTGAGAGCTTATGCACCAAAGACAAATTCCTTGTGTCTAATCACACTTAGCCAATAGTTTTCTTTCTTTCTTTCTTTCTTTCTTTCTTTCTTTCTTTCTTTCTTTCTTTCTTTCTTTCT